CGGGCTTAGCTGGAGCCCCGCACCCCAGGCTGCGCTCACGCCCCATCGCCGCGCCGCACTCCTCCCGGCACCGCGCGCGGGGCCAAGCAGGCCTGGGGCTCAGCCACCTGGAGACAGTGGGTGCGGAGCGGAGCCGGCAGACGGATCCCGGGGCAGATGGACAGACTGACCGACGGACGGACGGACACGCGAGAGAGCCAACCGGCCTCCCACAAAAGGACAAGGACCATCACAAAGAAGCAGCCTGGCGTCTGCCGTGGGAAAGTGCGCCTGCGCGGACCGGACGCGAACTACAGTTCCCCAGAACCTTTGTACCACGCAGACAGCGCACTCCATTTCCCAGACGGCGTCGGGGCACCAGAGTAGCCCTGACGTCCGCCCTCCAAGTGTGTAGCACAGCCTTCTGGGCAATGTAGTTCCGGGGCCTGAAACCATGCGCCCCGGCCCCGCCCCACTCACCGCCCTCCGTTGCTGTGGCCTTTTTTTGTGTTCCCCGGAGGCATGGGCAGATCTGTAACCACCTGGGGCCCAGGCCAGACCCAGAAGAGCGGGTCTTGCTCATGGGGCTCAGAAACAGCACCCTGCAGGGAAAGCCCGCGGGGTCGCACACGCACTCCCGGCTGCACAGTCACACTGGCCCTGAGCTCCGCGGAGGTGCGGGCCAGGCAGCTCAGCAGAAGCCCCGCACCCCAGATTGTGCTCACATCCCCCCCCGCCACGCCCCACGCAACCCGTCGCACACTCCTCTTGTGCACCAAGCGCCGGGCCTGTAGCTCAGCCACCTGGAGCCAGCGGGCGTGGAGAGCGGCCAGCAGCGAGGCCCCGGGGCGGACGGACAGGCAGAATGGACTGCTTCCCACAAAAGCAACAGCCACAAAGGAGCAGGGCGGCGGTCGCCACGGGAAAATGTGCCGGCACAGACCCGACGCAAACTACTGCCCCCGGGAGCCTTTGCGCTTCCCTCTCGGCCGACTCCATTTCCCAGAGGGGCGTTGGAGTACCGGAGCTGCTCTGACGTCTCGACCCCGTAGAGCCTTCTGGGAAATGTAGTTTCGGTATCGGAAACCGTGAGCTCTGGTCCTGCCCCTAATTGGAGGCGTTCCTAGAGAAAGGTGCCTTGAGGGTGGAATTGTCCTTTATGTGTGTGGCTTTCCTATCTGTGTTGGCTCTGGCCCACCTCCATCTTTACAGGAAAGTCTCAGGTTCCCCCTTAGGACACTAGAGGTGGTGAGTGGGGCCATCAGTGGTGTTTTCCAGGGGCCTGCCTTAGGGACCCTGCCTGTTCTGGAGAGAGGTACTTTGGGACCCCCTATGGGGGGAGGTGCAAGGGGAGGAGTTAAAGCTCCAGCTCTTCGCTCAGACCAGGTGCCTCCAAGCTCTCTCTCTCAAATCAATAAATAAACATTTAAAAGACAGGCCTTCTGCAGCTCAGGGTCCAGACAGCAGAGCATTCCAGAATAGATAGACCTGCTCTTTAGGTCATAGGACTCCCCCTGCCACTGGATGTCCTCTCAGCCTCTGTCACCTCTACTGCCCTTACCATCTCCTGGCCAGCAGTCTCATTCTGGGATCTGAGAGGGGGGAACACAGGTGAGGCAACAGGGGTTGCAAGAGGTGAGATAGGGCCGAAACCGGTTTGGCTCAGTGGATAGAGCGTCGGCCTGCGGACTGAAAGGTCCCAGGTTCGATTCCAGTCAAGGGCATGTACCTGGGTTGCGGGCACATCCCCAATAGGAGATGTGCAGGAGGCAGCTGATCGATGTCTCTCTCTCATCGATGTTTCTAACTCTCTATCTCTCTCCCTTCCTCTGTAAAAAATCAATAAAATATATTAAAAAAAAAAAAAGAGGTGAGATAGGAAGGGACTAACCCAGAACTATATCCTGAGTTATGGCTCAAGCCAGACCTTCTGGCTTAGTCAGCTGAGGCCCTGCTATATGGCCTGTACTTTGGGAACCCAAAGGACACAGTAGCCTTCCCTAAATATTTTTTTAAAAAAGAAAGAAACATCAATGATGAGAGAATCATTGATAGGCTGCTTCCTACACGCCCTCTACTGGGGATCAAGCCCACAACCCGATCATGTGCCCTTGACCAGAATCGAACCCGGGACTCTTCAGTCCACAGGCAGAGGCTCTATCCACTAAGCAAAACCGGCTAGGGCGCCTTCCCTTCCTTAGAGTCCAATGCCCAGGGTCCAGGCCCTAGCCACGCAGGCCTCATCCGCTCACCCTCCAAAGACCCAGCCAGCCTAACACAACCTGACAGGTGTAATGGAGGAAATGGAGTTCTTTGGGTTCCTCGGGGAAATAAGTTTCCTGAGGCTCCCATGGAGGGTGGGGCTCCCAAGGAGGGTGGGGTTTCGTGGAAAGCTTTATTGATGATGTATCACTAAAGGGGTTTGCTGGAAGCCAATTGCAGCATGACAGCAGGGCTGAATCTGGGAATAGCCGATGGCACTTCCCCAAACCTGAACAGGATACATTAAATTGTTTGCTGCCAGATAGCGCAGGGCATCTTAATCTACATGTTATTGCCTCCTACTGGCCAAACACCTGAACAGCTGTAGGCTAATTCTCCCCAGTCTGACAATGGACTCTGTATAGGAAACCCTGATCCTTCGAAGTGTATATCTCTGCCTCACCTCAGGACAATTTGTGTTAATAAAATGCACGGGGTCCTGAGCCAAGGAGATCTTAGTTTCCTTTAAACTAGGTTCTTCTGACCCCCAAATGCCTTTCAAAATTATATTTTGTCTCTGGACTAATCTATGCACAGCCTTCTCCAGATTGCTGAACCCTTCTAGATGCTGGAACAAAAGCCCCGGTAGGGGTTCCCCTCCAAGGTCCCATCTATGTCCACCCTTGCCTCTCCTGGCTCTCAAAGCCACGCCTGTTGTCTCCCACAGCCACATCTGTCAGCAAATCCGGAGTCTCTACTGAGCCCTCTCCCCACACTCCTGGCCTCCTTGTCGGTCCCTTCCGGGGACCTGAGGGGTCGCCTTCATTTCACAGAACAGAACGTAATTTGAGCTCACAGAGGGCAGAGCCTACAGGTCGCACAGCCTGGATCTCACAGTCTCAGGAGGGAATCTAGGACTTTTGTTAGCAGTATTTTAATTACTGGGACAGAGGGCAGGGGATGGTTAATGAGGCTCGAGGGATCAGCTGAGCCAGATGCTGGAGGGCCCAGCAGGCCAGGTGACTCGGGAGGAATGGGGCCACCTGAGGGGTTGACAGAGCCAAGTTCTCACCTCCTCTGCACCTGCCAGAGAGACAGGCTGCAATGAATGAATGAGTGAATGAATGAACTAATAAACAGAGGGGACCCAGGCCTCTTGGTTGGGGCCAGGCAGGTCTGCCAATGAATAGGGTCCACAGCACATCCCCCCACCCTATACACACACACACACACACACACACACACACACACACACGGAGCTGCATAGAGGCTAGGCCCCTGTAGGCCCTGAGATCCCAGTCCAGCCTGGATCTACGCCAGGCCCTTCCCATGGCACCCAAAGTCCTAACTAGCCCCTAGGGTGCAGTGAGAACAACATACTGGGTGGGGATACTGCCCACCAGGGGGGCCCACAGCGCACTGTCCATGGCCCTGCAAACGGCAGCGTCGCACGTGTGAAGGCACCAGGCACCGGGGTGAGAAAGTGGTACAGGGTGCAGTGGTGAAGGGCTCCCATAGAAGATGGCAGAGACAGGAAGGGCAGCAGGGATGGCCATAAGGGCCTCAAGTGCAGGTAGAGGAAGTGCACTGGCTGCCCTGGGTGGGTGAGGGAAGGGGGGAAGAAGTCCACCCCATAGAGGACCCTCAGCCCCAGGCTCCTTCACCCAGCTACTCCTCCATCCAACATTCAGCATGATTAGCATCACTGAGTACCACGTGACCCAGACCTGTGCTCAGGAACCCTTCTGTGGCTCCAGGTGGACGGAGTACAGAAAGCCAGTGAAACTGACTGTGAGAGATGCTGTGGGGGAGGGGCCTGAACTACCTGGTTGGTGTGAGGTGGTCAAGGAAGGCTGCTCAAGTGAGATGAATGAGATTGGCCAGGCACTTGGGGGTGGGGAGGACATTCCTGCCAGGAGAACTGGCCTACGCAAAGGCCCAGAGGGGTGAAGGTTATTGGGTTAGAGGAGGTTTAAAAAGCGTGGCTGAGCCCTGACTGGTTTGGCTCAGTGGATAGATAATTGGCCTGCGGACTGAAAGGTCCCAGGTTCGATTCCCATCAAGGGCATGTACCTTGGTTGCGGGCACATCCCCAGTAGCAGGAGGCAGCTGATTGATGTTTCTCTCTCATCTATGTTTCTAGCTCTCTATCCCTCTCCCTTCTTCTCTGTAAGAAGTCAATCAAATATATTTTTTTAAAAAAGTGTGGCTGAACATGAACAGTGTGAGATAGGCTGGGACCTCCAGCGCCTCCTGGAGTTCGACTGGAAGTGTCCATGACGAGGATGGATTGCTGCAGCTGTGTGTGGGCTGTGGGGGGCAGAGTAGGGAGACAATAGTGGCCTGGACTATGCTATGGAAGGAGGTGGCTCGAGCCAGTGAGGAGGGCTGCTGGGTCCATGACCACACCTGCTTTGCCCTGATGTAGAGGTTGTGAGCTCGGATCCTGACTCTGGTCTCAGTACCTGGGCTTCTGCAGCTCTTGCTCCAAGCCCTGTCACCTCTGCCCAGAGGCTGGGCCAAGCCCATGGTTGGGACCCAGGGACAGCGCGTTGTGGGGGGCAGGGGAGGGGTGCACAATTACAACACCTGAAGCCGGCTCTGTGCGTCCCTCGCCCCCACCCCCACCCCCCAAGCCTCCTGGGGCTCTGCCACACCACACGGGTGTCGGCCTTGCCGGGGTTCTCCCGGCCCCAGGCAGGACCCCTCGAGGCCTCGGATGTCCC